CTTCTTTCATTCTTATCCAGTTGAATGCATTCACGGTATAGTTAACTGCTGTTATTAATTTTCCTAGCCTGATGGCTTCACATTAAATTTGCGAAAAGTCCACCAGTTTCTCTATATAGCGAGGATATTTCCCCATTTGTCCAGTTTTTAGCTCTGACCCTAATGGGTTTAGTTTTTTTACTAATAAAAATATGTATATAACAAAACTTCTCTACTGTTGAGTTGTAGCATTAATATTGATGTCATGTTGTCATGTGGATGTTCAGGGTGCAGAGAGAGTGCGAGCAGAAGGATAATGAGGTGAAAGTCCTGGTGGAGGACAAGAACAAGTTACAGTCAACCATCAGAGGGCTGGAGCGGGAGCTGGCGGCGCTCAGGAGAGAAGTTAATCACAGAGATGATATTATCCGTGACAGGGTGAGCATCTTTGTTATTTTACACCTCGTCAAACATTTATTTCTTGTTCAAGTTACTCTTACGATTTAATGATCATTGGAGAAACAGCGTGGGATACATTAGAATAATGTACTTAAATATCGTGGGTTACACAAGACAGTGTAGAGCAACAGCGTGGTATACGATAGAGTAATGTAACAAAAGGTGGGGGGGGGGTGAATAGTCAGGTTAGGTTAGGTAAGATTCGTCAGGAAACAGGAAAAGTGTTTCTTGAAGCGGATCTTTGTCATATGATGACCCACAGCTGGAGTTTTTGGTCATCTGACTGAAGCCTTCCGCTGGATTACCGACCCACTCCTTTAAAAATTATGGTTATAACCATTGAGTTTATTGTGTAATAGATTAATGTATCAGAAACACCATGGGACTGCACAAGCGCAGTATCCACGTGTGTATTTACGCTGGATGACACTTGTAGCCATTAGTGTTGGGCAGCAGGGAGTTACTGCTGTTCACAGGGAAGAATTCCAACTCGGCAAATACGAGTGGCTTGGGTCATCAGAGTAATGCAGGGGAAAACAGCACTGGACACACTTTAGTAACATAAGGAAGCAGCTTGGGGTTCCCTATGTATCACACAAACCCAGGGGGCTAGGGTTGTGATACGAGGATCACACACAGACTAAAACAATTCTTAGTTATTAATTAGTGTTCTTTCAGAGCTAATGGGGATCCCATGTTGCTCAGTATGACCAGGTGTATAGGAAGGTAGCATGTGCTGATCCCAGATCCCTGCTGCAGGAGACTAAGATCAGCAACACCAGAGACAGCGTCAGTGAACTGGAGAAACAACGGTTCCTGCTGGACCATCAGTTGAGTCAGCTCAAGGAGGAGCTGGCCCCTCTACACACAGCTCTGGAGCAGCGAGCGCAACATATCAAGCAGGTGCGTAAACATATCTCCCACTAAACAATACATACGCAATTAAATTATCATTATTATTATCATCATCACAGGAGGAAGTGCTAATTCTGTAGGGGGTCATACAGCGCCTGAGACAAGGGAGGTAATCAAGTTAGATTCGAGAATGAGGAGGATATCTCTAATACTTTTCATCAAGAACCCGTCATCATGTCGTGTTTTTAACCCAGATTTGCAGGCTTTGTTATAAAGCAAAAAAACGTTTGCTAAAGAAAAAAAAAATCCCAGAGATCATAACTTTAAATGTATTTCAAGATTTTAAAAAAAGAATAAAAAATTTTAATAAAAATTTAAAAATTTAAATAATAAAAAATTTAAAACCCAAACAAGCTAGAAAATCCTTAGCTTGAAACCATGATGTTCTTTCCCTGGTGGGGGACGAGTGAGTGAGAGAGGCTGGTGGTGGGTGGTGGGGAACGTCTTTAAAGGAAAACTAGTAAAGTCTAGTGCGGCAGGGCAGCGGGGCGTCCCCTGCGCAGCGTCCCCCGCCCTGCACCCCCCTCCCGGGTCCTCGCTGAGGGCCAACACAACACATTCTTACACCACCCAAAAGAAGCTAAAGGGAAAGCATTTAAGGTGGGGGAAGTGCTTGTGACTCAGTGTTATGGTGTTCGGTTCCACCCAAAGGGCCGGGTTCATCTCGGCTGATTTTTTTAATTCCGGGGTTAAAAAACGTTGGGGGTTGCGTCTGGCATGGGAAAAGGGAAAGGAAGTTAGACTTTGGGGGGGGAGGGGGTTTTTAAAACTGAGGTAGCAAAATTTCCTTCTTGTTTCTTTTTAAATTGTCTTATGTAAATTGAGTATTTTTAAAAAAAAGGGAGTTTGATTCGGAGGGAGTTTTGGCAAGTCTCTTTTCACCTAACAGTAAACAGGCCCCTGGGTGTTCGTTGCATTTGGGTGGCCCCTTAAAACAGGAGGGATGTTTGAAATAAGTAATTGGTATGAATGTCTATTTTTTCTTCAAAGGAAGTTCCCTGTGCAGTAACAGGGGGAGGCATCAATTGATTAACCATATCCCCAATGTTCTTTTTACTTAAGGTTTTCCTTTCAGTGGGATCCCGGGAAGTTGGGCGGTCGTCATCAAAGGTTTTAGACTCCGTTCCTTTTGGGATGTTATCAATTTATTCCCACCCCAAGTAGGTCCGTTTGGGGAAGTTCTTTCTGAATTAATAATTTAATAAAAATAAAATAATTAATTTAATTTCTATTGTGAACTACGGATAATCATAAGAGGTGGGGGTGTGTTGGGGCATCTGTGAAAAAAAAGATTTTTTCCCATGGTGAAAAAAAAATGAAGTATCGGGTTAAGTAGTACCAATATGTTTATAGGTGTGAGGGTGGGTTTTTTAAAATTGCAGTGGGGCGGGGGTTTTGGGGGCAGTGGAGAGTGTTTGAAAACAATGTGTTAAATTGGAAAATTTAAAAATTTAGAAGACGGTGGGGTTTTGCTAAGGGAAAAAAATTCAGGGGCGGGATGAGAGTGGTATTTTGGGGATTGAAAGAGGATAACCAGACTGAAAAATAAAAATAACAATAATAACCTTTTTTTTGAAAGAAAGTAAAGGTTACAGGTTAGTTGACTTTAGTGTTACTACTATCAAAAAGCCGTTTGTTATGTGAGCATTTCGGGCAGATTAGGTCATTTTTGCCCCCGGGTGAAACCCCACACCGTCGACTAACCCCCGGTCCCTTTTTGCTGATAGGTGAACAGGGAAGCAGGGGGTCTTAAGGAAACCCCCCTAATGTTTCCCCCCGTACGGGGATTAAACCCACAGACTTCGGTGTGTGAATGGGGCCCTAGCAATCGAGCTAGGGGGACACAAAATGTTTTAAATTTTGGGGTAGAAAGACAAAGGGGGTGGGGGTGCCCCGGGGAGGGTTCGGGGAGTGAAAAAAGGGTTTTGGTGTTAAGGCTTGGCACCCAGAAGTTTGAATTAAATGTATTAGATCGGAAGGAATCGGACAAATATTTTTTTTGGCTTGGGGACTGTTGTAGGGTGTAGCAAGGTAACTTTTATAAAGGGATTCAGGGAAACCCAGTTAGCCAACTTGAGATTTGGAATGGGAAATACAGGCTAGCACTCTGGGGCAGAGGTGGGTATGCTGCAGTTCGGTCATTTGAATTGTGAATCAGGTCACTTCTGCAAGACAGCTTTGGATAAATGATAGTGAATACTTTTCCCCTTTCATGTGTTTTAAAATAAATGATTCGGGCTTCGTCTCGTCCCCAGCGTAATGACAATATGCCCGCGTGGACGACAAAAGGAGTTTGGACGAGACCTGCCCTCGAAAGGGGATCTTTTCCCCAGTGACCCTTCCCCCAAAGTGAAAATCTTTAGCCAAAAACCAGGAAAATCAATCATCATTTTCATGGAGTCGGGGCAAAGATAAACAGTTCTGTCTACAGGGTGTAATGCTGGTGAAGGGCTCTTGACCCAAGTAATTGGGCTACCCCCACTTCTGAAAAAATTGTTTTTCCCCCCACCCTCCCCATTGTCCAGGTTTACGTTTTCCTGTAATGATAAAAATACTTTTTATCTATTTAAATGGGAAGGTAGTACGCCGGAGGCTGGGTTCTGTGTGTTGATAGTGGTCATCGGGTACCCTTTTTAAGTTTAAAGACTGGAGAAATTCTTTTTGTCTTGTAAGGTTTTATCCCAAACAAAATGGTTTTTTAAACAGAACGTGAGAAAACAATGGTCATACTTTTAAAAAAGCTTTCGGCCCCCTGGGACTTTGTCACTTTTTATGTTTGAAGTGATCAAGTGTTTGTCACGTGTTTTTTCAAAATTTAATCACTAGTGTTCATATTTAAAAAGAAAGTTGGCTTGTAATTTGTGTGTAGAAGCTCACTTGCAAATGTGTCTTAAACGGGGGTTTTTTTTTTTCTTTTAAAAAATTTGACTTTGTCTTTTTGAAGAGTCTTAATCTTTTAAAGGGAATGTTTGGTGAAAATTTGCCAAATATTCTGACTAGTTAAAAACTTTGGGAATTTTTGGTTCGTTGATAACGGAAAAAAAATTTTTTGATCAACTTCATAAATTTCGTACTTGGGGTTTTTCCTCAGTGGAAAGTTTATATTGGTTATGGTTGGTGTAAGTTTGAATTTGCCGATTTTTTTAAATAAATTGGGTTATGTCATAAGGGGGATGCTTTCAGATTGACTTCAAACCGTAAATGCGGATATCTTACTTAGAAAAAAAAATTGGAGGTTTTGGGGGTAACTGGGTCCCAAAAAAAAATTTTTAAAAATGAAAATGTTTTCATGTGCAATTTGTGGGGGAAGCCTCATCTGTCGACTTTAAATCTTAAACCCAAAAATTTATAAAGAAAAATTCGAGCGGCTCACACTAGGGGTGGTATATTTTTGGATTTGTCTCTGTGTAATAACTAATGCTTTTTTTCTAAATTCTTTAAATCAAGCCCCTTTAGCTTTCAAGGCGCCTCCCCTTTAAGGTCCGTGTCCCCCAAAGTACCTAGCATGTCTGCTTCAGATTTGTGGGGAGAGTATCCCTGGGGGGGTGGAGGAGGGGGTACCCGGCTCCTAGACAAATGAGTGCTGGAGCGTTCTGTAGTACTCTCCGGGGGCAGGCCCAAAAAAGAGGGCCAGAGCTAAAGGGCAAAGCCTAGCTGTTAAGGTCAGAACTATTGCCTTTCCCGTACTTGCCTAAATAAACCCTGATATTATTAAGTGAGCGGTTTTTTTTCCCTGATAATTGTTTGGGATTTTTGTGTCAGGATAGTGTGTGTGTGGTCTACTGTGTTGTGAGGGTAAAATGCTGGTATGTTGTAGGGTAATTCTGGAATAAAGGTTTCCTCTGCTTAACTGTATGAAAAAAGTAATTCTTCAGGTAATGTTGGAATTGTATTTTGGGATAACCGTTCTGAATTTTGTCTAAAAGAATTTTCCCTAGAATTATGTTTCACTGGGCAAACTGTGCTCGAGTTTTTAAATTAAAAAGCCTTTTCTTTAGGATTGTTCATTTGTTTGTAATAGCACCTGAAAATTTGGTTTTGAAACTATACAGAAGAATATTGCATACGCAGATCTTTGCCAGGGCAGGAGAAAAAGTGATCGCTGGAGTCGGTGGGGGTGCGGAGGACAAGGTTGGGGAGGGAAGGAGGTGAGGCGGGGAGAGCAGGGGGGTCTGAGGGACCCACGCCCGGCAAGCGACGGCTCCAGGGGGCCCCTTAGTCAGACGGTGACGCGGGGGGATACTTCGTCCGCCCTTTGGGGCAAAATCGACAGTTCAGGTAATAAGACAATTTTATAAATTTCAGAGAAAATGCATTAATAAAAATGAAAAAAAGAAAAGAGTATTAGGATTACTAACCCCCCAGTTATTATTGCATGGGGAGCGCTAAACCCCTATGATTATAAGCAATGGGGTGGAAGGTATTCAGGCTCATTCAGGGAACGGGACAGACCAAAACCCAGATAAGAGTCTTAAACGCAGGAACCCCCCTTGGGGGATTAAAAACCCTGAGGTTAACCTAGGATATCCCCAAAAAAGCCATTCGTGTTACTTGTTGCCATGGAGTTTTTTCTTTTAAAATTTTTCCCCCGGTGCGACCCGCAAAGTTGAACCACTTTTAGGGTATTTTTTACTGTAGCACACAGCACACAATTTATTCCCCTGGGTTTGATCCCCCTTACGGGGGGGAAAAAATTTTGGGCGTGTTTCCTTAAGCACCTGTGTTCCGTTCCCCCAGCGTAAATAGGTACCCGGTGTTGCCGATGGTGTGGGTGCATCCCCGGGGGCAAACTTAACTAAATTTTCCCGACTGTTGCATAACTTTGGGGCTTTCTATGTAAAATTGGGTTTCTGAGTCAGCTAATCGTTAAATTGTATCATGTATTGTAGAAATAAAGTTATTATTATTATTCTGGGCCCAATTCGGATTCGACCTGGGGGGCCTTTCGGACGTAAGCCGAGGTGTCTCTCGTTTATATACACTGAAAGCGTGCTTTTCAGTAGTTAATTGTTAGTTTAGTTGTTTATTATGCCCCCATACCCATCCTGTGGGCGGTAGTCAAAAAATACAGAGGTACATAATGGGTCAGGATGGGGGCCCCAAAGTTTTGTGCTGAACCAGGACAAAGGGAAAGAATCCCAGTTACAAGGGAATGAAAAATGTAA